GTAGAGTTATTTAAAGCATAAATGAGTGGGTTGGGTTCTGGAGGTGTGGTTACAGCATTGTGCTTGGTTGGCTTGGCCTGTGCCTGGTGGTGGGGCCCAATGTGATATCTTTTCATGGGGCCCAAAATCCCTGGCGGCGCCCCTGATTGTAGCCTATAGATGTTTTATCTTAATAGAGATATATTTGATTTAATATTTTAAATGACATCCCAACAAATAAAAACATCAGCTTATTTTTCTGTATTACGTGTTGGCTGGAAAGTTACAGAGATATAAAGAGGGGGAAACTCTATTTTAGGGTGTGTTTACTCTTGCAGCTGACTTTCTTCCTTGACATTAAAGTGTTTTTGTTTACATTTTTAAAAACCTACCTTTAATTTAACCAAGCTCACAGAAAAATGCTTCTGCAGGAAAACCATGCAACATCATGAAAAACATTGACCTTTACTTTCACCTGCGTTTTGTATTTGTATCGAAGCCCATTAATACATCTATACTTTTGCATTTTCATTTTCACATACTAATTTGATCATATTAAAAACAACATGGAAAAGCTGTCTGACCTTTTTTTTAATTAAGTTGTACCCGTCTGTATAGTGCATATTCAAATATTATCTCAAATGTGATGATTAAAGTGCAATATAATCATTTCAACAGGATTTTCCATTTAAACAAACAATATTTAATTAAGTGAAAATGAAAATGCTTTTTCATCTAACATCTGGAAAATTAAAACAGCCCTTTACATTTCACTTTTAGAAACCTAGCCTGCTCTTCAGTGGTATTCAAAAGCTATAAGCAAAACAACCCAATCTTTTGGTGTCAAAATGAAAATGCAATATGTCAGTTCTCTTATCAAAGTGGGTCTTCAGGTACCGCCTCTCCCTTTTTTCTTTTTGTTGCCTGTGAGCTCTTATGCTTGAGGATCTGTTGGATCATCTGAAGTGAAGTTGGTTTCTCTGAAGTCAGCTACCACTGAGATTCTAAGAGGCAAAAACAGTTCCTGTATTTATTATCCACTGTTTGGTGTGCTAAGATAAAAAATAAAAAAGTGTCTTCAATGCAGGGGTGAGACATTCCCCCCTATTGAAATGCAAAGATGACATTTCAAAAAGCACAGTCAGTGGGAGATCTTTTTATTGATGAAGGAAAGCTGGTAACGGCTTCAGCTTTTATGCTTTCTCCATCATCATTTTCTGTAATTATATATATTTTCTTTTGAGTTTTCAAAACACGAAACAATATTTTTTGTCTTGCCTTCTACATCTTGGTCATAATTCAAATATATAACAATAAAACATGTAATAATAATTGTACAATAATTACAGAGCATCTTGTCTCCATGTAAACATTTGTATTAATATTTTATTTTATATATTTTTTAAATATTAATCCATGGCGCTAGGTGACCAGTGGGGTCAACTTATTTTTTAAATATCTTCTTTTTCTTTGATTATTATGAAATAGTTGTTATTTTTTTATTTTATTATAATCATATCTATTTTTATCTTAAAATTACAACAGGCAGAAGATAATTGAATTATGAAATCTAGAGCTAAGATTAAAATCATTCTCAAGCATCTCACTTCAGAAACAAACAAACAAACAAACGGGGAAAACAAACAAAGAAAGATGATGACAAGAGCTCTTCATGGTGACGACTTACATAAGTGATAAATGACAAGGCATACTAAACAGATTTAATTCAACATGGCTGATAAGTGGAAGTGAGAGTGGGAGGGATTGTGGGTGAGCTGAACTTTAACAGAGGGCACTTGAATCACAATTGATTCATGTGACGCTTTTATTTTTGAATGACCTTTATAAGGTTTCATTTTAGATTTACTGCTGCTGTGGCTTTTCAACCCACATTCCCTGCAGCAGAATCCGTGATGTGTTGCTGAAAAACTGCAAATATATTCAGTCGACTCTCTTAAGCTCTCTCATTTTTATGCTGATGATACCGTGATGTATTGTGCAGGTCCCTCCATTAAGGAGGCTGTTGTTAAATTACAGGCTGTTTTTAATATTATCCAGACGCAGCTCTCTGAGCTTAAGCTTCTTTTAAATGTGGATAAAACAAGAGGTAATGCTATTTTCAAAAGCCAAAAAGACACCGGAGACAACTTTGGATATTGTTACTACGCAAGGAAAATTACTTGAAGTGGTTACCTGTTATAAATACCTTGGTATCTGGCTTGACGATTGTCTCTCTTTTAAACCTCAGGTCAATAATCTGCTTAGAAAGCTGAGGGTGAAGCTTGGTTTCTTTTTCAGAAACAAGCTGTTTCTCGCTTGAGGCCAGGACAATGATATATAGTTTCTGTGACCTTTTTACCTGTGCTGGACTATGGTGATGAATGCACCTGCCCATTACCTGATCAAGTTAAATGCCGCCTATCACAGTGCGCTGAGATTTGTTTCAAACTGTATAGCACTTACTCATCACTGTACCCTGTATGCCAGGGCGGCTCTGCCTTCACTTACTTTACGGAGTCTCAGTATACATGTTCATTTATAAAGCCATGCTGGGTAAACTACCACCTTACATCTGAATAAAATAGAATATCTTTATTGTCATCACACATTAGTGTAACGAAATTCAATTGGCATCTCTCACTGCAGTACATAAATAAGAACACATCCATAAAGGCAGTGATAAAGCAGAGATGGTAGCAACACTCAGGGTCTTCACTTAAATGCACTTTACCAGAATGTTAACAATACATTTTTAAAGATTATTTAATAAAGAAAAGCTACAATGTTTAAATATAAATAGTTGCTAAAAATATCTGTTTGATACTTAATAAATATACAAATAAATAAATAACATATGGCATTTTTGGCTGCAGTCTTTGATGGGAGGTAGTGTGTTTGTATGTGTGCATGTTCAAAGTATAGTGAGTTTTGTGGTTGGACAGGGATGGGAGTGATGGAGGCCACAGCTCTGGGAAAGAAGCTGTCTGTTGGTGCGTGATTTTATTGACCTGAACCGTCTGCCAGACGGCAGCGGTTCGAACAGTGAGTGGCCGGGGTGTGTGATGTCTCTGATACTGCTGGCTTTCTTCTGCAGTCGACTCCTGTAGATGTTGTCAAGGCTGGGCAGCTCAGTCCCAACGATGCGCTGAGCAGCCTTCACCACCCATTGCAGGTCCTTCCGCTCTGCGGCTGTGCAGCTGGTGTACCACACAGTTATGCAGGTGGTCACGTTGCTTTCAATGGTCGACCGATAGAAGTTTACCAGCATTTTTTGTGGAAGCCTGGCCTGTCTCAGTTTCCTCTGGAAAAACAGTCTGGGCTGTGCCTTTTTCACCAGGTTTGAGGTGTTTGAGGTCCATGTTAATTCGTTGGAGATGTTGACTCCAAGGAACCGTAGGTCTTCCACGCTCTCCACTGCTTCTCCATGGATGTGGAGGGGGAGATGGACTCCCTTTTTTGTCCTCCTGAAATCAACAATGAGCTCCTTAGTTTTGGAGGTGTTAAGGACAAGGTTGTGCTCCTTACACCAGTCCGTCAGATGTTCCACCTCGAGCCTGTAAGCTGTCTCCTTATTGTCTGTAATAAGACCGGCTACTGTGGTGTTGTCTGCAAATTTGACTATGGAGTTGGAGGTGTGGATGGGGGTGCAGTCGTTGGTAAAGAGTGTGAAGA